AAACAATTTGGAACCAGTCGCCGAGGCGTTGTTCCAGACGTTGCTTCTGACTTTGATATCTGTGCATTGCAGTCAGGATGCTCTGCCTTGATGTGGGCGCAGCAGCAAGGGCACGACGTAGTTTCCACGTACTTGCGTAGGCAGGGCGCTCGCATCCATTAGGAATTCTACCATGCGCCCGAATGGCGAGCTTGTAGCGGTTTCAACAGCCCTTGCCGCGTTCGCTTTCTGATGTGGCGCCGACAGGGAGTAGTGGCGGATCCTCGAGATTCATGTGCTCTACATGACTTTGTTGTGCCCGTTCAGATGGCGAACGCATTTACCCCGGGGGTCATTGAAGGGGATAGATTTCCCAGGGGTTACCTTCATGACGAAGCAAGGCAAATCATGATCTGTCAGCTGACGGTTCCGCGCTCGAGGTCGCTCGCACGGGGGCGTTGGCCGACTGTTCATCCAATATTCTCATGAATGTAGCGTTACTCTGTAAACCAGCTCTTTTTCAGAACACTGCGGTCCCCATGCACCGCAAAGTTCTGTTTGAAATAGTCAAATGGCAGCGACTTGTGAGAGACGCTGAGAATGACTCGAGTTTGTCTTGTGCAAGTATTGCTGTGGATTTTGTGCGCTTAACGAACAATGGTCGCAAGGGTGGTGGGGTCCAGGCCATGGACGACAGAACACTATGCAGATGAGATCCACATAAACGCCACCGATCAGCGGCAGGCAGCTCACGACTTGCTCCGAATCCTTCTTCAAGTTTTGAATCTTTGAGGAACTCCATCAAACAAACCAGTTTACAGCTTTGGGGGCTGCTCCCATCTCCCGCCATGGCTTTTAGCATCCCATCTCTCGACCGAGTTCAATCCCCCAAATATTTTGCTACTTTCCCCTTTAAAACATCTTGAAGTTGTTTCTCACTATTACACAATATTTCTGAGTCCCCCTGGCATCGCAATAATGATTGATGCGAGGTTGCATGGTTGGCGGAGTTCTGATCTTGTTGTCAATTGAAAAAATTCAAAATAATGGCTTCCCTTTGCTGGTCCTTCCCAAAGTAGTGATGTTGCTTTCTTTCGCCCATTGCGGCTGTATGCAATTCAGGGCAAGGTGACAATTTGCCCCTCTTTGGTTGCATGACATCCCCAAATGCTACGCAACAACTGTGCAAGGTCACGTAGCACTGCGTAAAGTGTGTAAAAAAACGCGCAGACAGTCCATACTCTAACGGCGGCGCCAGGAGGTTTGCGGTAAGGAACAAACCACACAAGAACGATCCCATACACTGTCTAAGCCACCACTACAGTGCACCGCAACATAGCATTGGACACCCGACCGACGAATTCTCGTATGCTTGTCTTCGAACGCAAGCATGTGAAGATCTCCCTGCACAACAAACAAGATGCCTGGCGAGTGAAGAATCCAACTCTCGCCTCCATGGCACGTGTGAGTCCTCGCCAATGCAAACATCGGTGGGAGCACTGCCAATGCAGCACAATCAACCCGCGCGCAGTGATACATGAACGATGGTCCGTGCTCACGTCCAGCGTCGCTATTCGCTCAGCACCCATGCCAACATTGCTTTTGCATGATTTTGCATGGTTTGCATGTGTTCCCCCACACAGAGAATGCGTATTTCGTGATGAACGAGAGAATCCATATCAGGGGCGCCTGCTTTGATCCTCGAAGTTAGAGGGCACGATCCGGCGTCCTGCAGCGGGTGCTCCCCTGTCTGGCCGCAACCCATCTCTGCCGATTCGCGGGCCCGCATCGTGAAGCGGTGTACAGGGCCTTCAACACATTCGAGTTACCCACAAACGCAGAGGCTACAAAGTATCTGTGTACTGCTCAGAGGTTTGAGTACCAACACTGTGACAATTACACCAGTGAAGGAGCAGAAGGTGCCAGCACACCGGACATTCGACCGATAGAATCACGGGTCAATGGCAACAGCATCACCGCAATAACAAAGCCAGCGTTGCACAACAGCATTTTTTTTTAAATGAGGCAGGCATGTTCTCGACTTGGCGCCTCCATATTCAATTGTCAATGTGCAAACTATGAAATACATGTTCACAAAACAGTCAACTTTGGACCAAGCTGCCACCGGCAGCTTTGGAAGGATAGCTCAATTCCAGTTCCAAGCCAATTCGAAAGAGTGAGTGAAAGTCTCCCGGTCGCCAAACGTTTAGGGCGCCACCAACAACGAGCTGGAAACTTCATCATCCTCGCACAGGTTCCTGCGAAACTGCGAGGCACAACACCACTTTCCCACAAATGTCTGATACCCTCGGTTGCCGGACATGAAGGTCATTTTGGAATTTACTTTTTATAGACTTGGGTCTTTCGGGTCTTTTCCGTTTTAGGTCTTGAGGTCTTTCGGTACTTGCACCATTCATGACCTTGGGGATCCCGTCGCTTCCTTCGGGCAAACCTCCACGTTCCGCGTCCTTTCCGCCTCCTGCCCCTGAACCTTGGAAAGGGCAACGACGTCGTCGAGCAACATGTCGTTTTCTGCCCACTCCAGCGCATCTGGATGCCACATCACGGACTCCCTGAGTCTGTATGCACTATCTTTGTGTACTCGAGCCTGCATGTACGCGTGCTTATATGCTTCCATGCGCAGAAACGTAAAATACTTCTTTACCCGTAAGTACATGAAAACTTGTTGTGTTTTAAGCACAACATACAACACACCAGAAGTAACAAGCCTGGTGACGAGTTTCCACAAACAGGCGTCGTCGCAAACTCCAAGACGGGTAGATGGAGGCGGACGCGTTCTGGACAACACGTTCAGGAATGAAGCTACAGGCACCAGTGCCACCCCGGACCGCAGAATGGGAAGCACGGAAAGGTGCAGTGTGAAGGAGAGAAGGGTGGGGCAAAATGGACGCTCAAGGGAGATCGCTTGGCGGTCAACGAACGCTCGCAGGCAAGCTTGAGATTTCAACACTGTTAAAATACCAATACAGGAAATGCGCGTTTTATTCTGTATTGTTTATTCAAGAATAAGTTCAATTCCAGGGCGAAATTTTCCACAAATACAACCTCAGTGACATATAAAGCCAATCAATCAGTATCCTTGCCTGAACAATTTGTGGCACCCTCGCTCATTGTCTCTGCAACAGTCATTGTGTCAACCTCTACTGTGCATGCCTCCAGAGCTGCGGCCCTCTCATCCGCATTTGCTCTTTGCCCCATCGCTCTCATTCAGTCAGACCAACAGATGCGGCTTATGTGGTGCACTATCACAAGGGAAAAAAGGGCCAAAGGACACGTGCTCAAACGTGTGCAAAGTTTATGGGTTTCGGGCTATTTTCGTATTTTTTTCAGCATGCAACACACTGATAAGATTCAAAAAGTGTTTTTTGGTCCTTTTTCTGCTAGTGGATACCATATTGGAGCAGCAGCCGGACGCGGAATCCAGGAATGCGGAATCAAGGTCCCCAGAAATAGACGCGCTCCGTCTACATCAGTTCCATCCAGATCAGCGGCGGGTCATTTCGGACGGCACCATTTTGGGGCAGGAAGATTCATCAACAAAGATGCCGTTCTGCAGTTACGAGGCTTGACACCATATTCCACGTCCCTGCCCATGCCCTTCGTCCTTCGCGTGGACATGGCCAGGGATGTGGACCCAGTTTATACCCAGGCTCCGCTGCAGCACATTCCTCCGTCCCAAATTAAGTTGCCGTTATGAGCTGTGGGCCTGGAAAACTTACCAGTCATCTCCGATTGCACAAATATTAGCCTCAATGTTTTAATTTGAGTCTAGTCTGTGCTTCCAAACTTTTGAGTCAATTGGCTAAATGTTCAACCCGCAATATTATTTTGAACATACGTCACTCGGCCAAGTCTTTCAAGGTGGCTCTGAAACAACCCGCTTTTGAGCCATGGACCATACCGCCTCGCAGTGCCCCTCGTCGCGCAAAGTGACGCACCTTAGAGATGCGTTTTAGACTACAAGTTGAAGCAAAGATGCAACAGTGGAGGGCAGACCACCAGGTTGTCCTAAAGGGCGTGATCGAGGATCTTGCCTGCCTTTTGTCTGCCAGTTGTGCCAGGTAATATTTTCAGCTCTCACTAGTAAAAGACAGGCCAGATGACACAGTCCTGACACAGTTTGCTCAAAATCCAACCGTGTACTTTCGGCAAATGTGGTCCCAAAAGTACACAGTTAGTACACACATTGGCACAGTCTTAACCGTGCATCCTAGGAAACTATGTAGTCTACACAGTTGTTTGAGGGTACACAGTTGAAACTGTGTCAATGTGTGTACTAACTGTGTACTTTTGGGACCACATTTGCCAAAAGCACATAGTTGGATTTTGACCAGACCGTGTCAGGATTGTGTCATCTGGCCTGTTTTTTTCCTAGTGTCTCACCGCAAACTTCCCCCGCCGTCTCTTGGGTTGTCCGCGCTTCCCTTACCATGTGTGGGACACGTTCGTTCTTGCGGGATCGGTGATTGCATTCCGGAATGGCTTACCGATGGTCTTCATTGTTTAGCGTGAAGTCTCGAATCCAAGGGCAGGATCTTCGATCACACTTTTCCGGATGCGCTGGCGGCCTGCCCTCTGCCTCTATATCTCCTCCCCTGCCTGCAGTCTAAAGTGCGGCTTAAATTTCTATCACATGGCGAGGTGGGGGACCCCGCGCCACCTTCGGCGCCACCTTGAAAAACTAGGATGTATCTGCAAAAATGGGGTCTATTTAGAATGCCATTTCAGACTGACTGCTTGGTTGATTAACCCACAGATTTTGCAGCACAAACTGCACGTAAATTAAAACATTGTGACAAATTTTGGTGAAGTTCTTTCAGAGGGTTTTCTGGGCCATACTATGGCATCATAGCTGCAATTGAATTTGGGACCGAGGAAGTACTAAAGCACGGCAGCGCCATCGATTTGCCCACATTCCTCGACGTCCGCGCGGCCCCAGGCGCCGTGTGGCACTTCTAAGTGCCACGCATTCGTGGCGGGGGTTCTGCTGCGCCCTCGCAATGGAGAAAGAGGCGGAAAGCGAGGTGAGCGGAGAAGGCGCCCCTAAACCCAAGGCCACCCAAAGTGAACGCATGCTCGCGCCGCGCCGCAGGAGTCTGTTTTGGTGCATACGTGGCATTTGTTGGATCCTGCGTCCTGGTGTGTCGCCACCAACGAGTCCACCATTCGTTTTCGCGCCCCCATTGATGAATCACCGGCGCTATTGTCATGTTCCGATCATGGCCGGGGGCGTGAGCTGCGGCGATCGAGCGCTTGGGTGAACGAGCTGAGACCTGATGCGAGATGGTCCGAACTGGCATGAGGCTGTCTTCGTCTGGCGCGTTGTAGCAAAGCGGTAGAGAGGCGTGGTGGGTAGCGTTTACTTGCGCGCAAGGACATGGGTCTGCATCCTGGTGGTCAGAACTCTGCGTGTTGGGACGGCTGAATCAAGCTCCGCTAGATGCATCCGGGCGTGACCCACTGGACTGTCCTGTCCTCCGGATCGGACACTGAATCGCATGGCGCTTTTGGGCCCACTGGCCTTTGCTCCCCCGCAATTGTACAGCCTTGGTGATGGTCTCTGACCAAAACCTTAGTCAAACTAAATTTTGAACTTGGGTCAACCTTTGACTTACCCCGACCTTGACCTTAATGATCCTGGACGGCCTCTTGGGCGGCTTGGGTGCAGAGCCTGGCCATTGCGTAGAGAAGCAACGCGTTGCAGCACTCTGTTGGCAGGAGCTGGATGGCATAGGACAACCAACTAATTTTGTGGCATTGGCATGGTGCTGGCATTGATTGGCGTGATTTGGCATGTGGTATTACCGCTCAGTATTGCCCACAGCCCAACTTCGGAAGAGGAGGCGACTTCACAGTGTGGCTGGCCATCACGATCACCCAACCAAAGCAGAGGGCAAGTGTCCACCAAAACTAGATTGGTGCCATGTCAGTGCATCAGGAAAAATGGCAGCTCATAGGGGAACACCTGCTGTGGTTGTGACAAGTTCACAAGCACAGCAATCACCACGCCCAACATCGTCTCACAGATGAAGGGGCAATGTTTTGCCCTGCTTTGGAAGACATGATGTGTGATCACAGCATGTCACAGGCAATAACAGCATGGCATTGGTGAACAGGCACTGTCGAGGGGCAAAGATGCACTGTACAACATGAAGATCATGTGCTTCTTGGATGCCCAGCTGGAGAAGCTGGAGGGCTTCAAGGCACCTGCCTCACCACAGAAGGCCAGCTTTGAGAGGGAGATTGGGAAGGGCAAGCGCCTGTTATACAAGCATGCCCACCATTTTGATGTCAAGGATTTCTACAGCACCAGCGTCGCCCGCGAGGCCGTGCAGGAGATCTGTATGTGCCTAAAGGACACGCTGAAGGTGTGGGGAATGCAGGGAAAGGCAAGCTTGGAAGATAGGGTACCAATGGGTGACGTGAAAGAAGACCAGGACCAACTGGGCAAGCTCCTGAACTTCGTGCTGAGGGATGTGCCGTGCAGCATCGAGCCAAAATTCGTGAAGCGTTGGGAGGACATCAAGGCTTGCCACGCAGAAAGCATGCAGCGGGTCAAGGTGTGAAGTCTGATTGACTCGCACTTGCTAGATTGCTACATTCACTAGGAATTGCCAGAATTTAATTTATCATGCAGTTCTGACTGAAGTACCACACCACAGTTTTGAAGTTGCCATGCAGTACTGACGGATGAAATACTGATGTGCAAAAAGCACAGAAGAATACTGACACTACAGTGAAATGCAGGCTGAAACACTGAAGTGCTGGCTGAATTAATGTGAAGTAGCGACTATAGGTACTGCCCTTGCACCTTCAACAAGATGATGACAGTACTGATGAAGTTTCATTGCATGTTGGCCACCAAGTGCTATTCTGCCACCCAACTGCACAGGAACATTACATCCACTGTTTGTCCCAGTAATCGCCATTGCTCACTTGCCCATCTGCCTGCCACAGATCAGGCCTACAATTACTGCAATTCTTGAAGGCGACCGCCATAGTTTCATCCATATTTTTCTCCAGCATGTTTGCTCAACCTCCCCTTGCCTTGCACAGGTCATCGACGAATGTGAGCTCGAGATGGGACAGCAGCTAGGTGAAGGGGGCCAGGGCGCAGTGTATGCGGCAGTGTGGAACTCAAAAAGTGTGGCCGTGAAGACGCCAGTCTGGAGGGGACCAATGGCCGGGGGGGGCGAACTGCCAATCGAGGATATTGCTGACTTTTTCAAGGAGATCATCTTTCATGCTGGAATTAATGACCATCCACAAATTGTCAAGCTCCTGGCCGCCACCTCCTCAGGGGGGATGGTGCTGGAGAAGGCAAACTGTGACCTGGGCAAGCTGTGCTTTGCTGACAAGGGGCTACCCTGGAGGTCCAAGGTGAGGCTGCTCCGTCAGGGGAGCACAGCCCTGGCATACTTGCATTCCAATGGTCGGGTGCACCAGGACGTCAAGCTGCAGAACTTCCTCATGTTTGGCACTGACCTTGAGACCTGCACACTCAAGATCAGTGACTTCGGACTGACAGTCATGGAGACGGCATCGAGGAGCAAGACAGTGAGGATCGGCAGTGGCACGCTGAACTACATTGCCCCTGAGTTCTACCACGGCAAGCCCACCAGCCGCAAGTCGGATGTGTATGGCTTCGGGGTGCTGTGCCATGAGGTCATCAGTGGGCAGAAGTCATACGGTGGGGAGGTAGCCACCCAGTTCACGATCATGAGAAAGAAGATCGATGGGGAGGCACCGTGCCAGGTCCAGGACAAGGACTGTCCCCCAGCAGCGCGAGAGCTCGTGAACTTGTGCTGCGCCACTGACCCAGAGGCCAGGCCAACAATGGAGGAGGTCAACAACAGACTGCTGCAGCTGCCCGATGATTGGGTGTTTGAGGAGTGCAGTGCTGGCAAGGTGAGAGATTTGCCTGCAGACTTACACTAACCTGCAGAGGTCTGATTAATTTGTACAATTTGTGATCTATTTAATGATACAATTCCAAGTTTGAATCACATTGAATAGCTGGAAATTACGAGTTAGCAGTGTAAACTGCCACAGCATGACCATAGTGATGGGATTGAAAACTTACATTGTGAAGTATAAGATACAGTAACGCTATCTTAACACAATATTTTCTAATGTATACGAATAGACAAATCACAAGAACTGTGTGGTTGGTTCCATTACTTGGCAGCAATGCCTCACCAGAAAAGCTGCCAAGTCCTTTCATAAACTTAGTCCTGTGTTTTGGACGTTGTTTGATGGACGCTGTTTTGTGGGATGTGTTGGTGTTGACAATGAGGCGAGGTATGCTTATGGCTACTGGGAACAGAAATGAACTGCTGAAACAATGTCGGGAAATGCAGCAACAACTAAGGATATTGACACGTTGACTACATGGCTGGACAAAGTAGCCAACATTGGGGATACCCAAGAGGTGTGGACCATGTACGTAAGCTGGTAGAGTTGTGATTTACTAGTATAGGAAGCATTTGTCTGTTTTTTTACTTATGTACCTGAATTGTGCAGCAGTTCGCATGGCTGCGTTGATGTACCTTGTGGGCAGTGTGAATAACACTTATTGGTATTTACATCCCTTTTGGGGTCAGATCATTGATTGGGAACTGGGCTGAATTGGCTATGGCTTTGACAGCAGATACAAATGCTGTTATCATTGTCAGGCTATCACGGTTGTTGATTCTCAGCAGTTTAGTGCTGCCTTGATGCCCAAGAATGCGGATTATGGCCAAACATGAGCTCAGCAACAGCTGGCCATAGTGAGGAACGGCTGCCAAGATGACCTGCGTGATGTAACAGGTGCTGAGACGAACTGCAGCAGCAACTCTTCAGTGGCACAGCGTCAGACAACATGTGAACAATACTGGGTTCGATGGGAACGATGTTTCCCAACAAGGGACCAGGAACAGCTTTAGAAATAGTACTCTAGTCAGGCTTGGTCGCAACAGCACAACCACAACAAGTAATTATCTGCTTATGCACAAAGAATAGTGCTATGTAGTATTTGCGTTTTAATGCAATAAGGCAAATAAAAAACAAATAAATAAATACAGCCTTTGTGTACATCAAGACAGTACATGCAGATGCAGGGAGCCCAGGATGTGGCATCCAGTCGCACTGGAGTGAGCAGAAAACGGCCTTTTGTTCGACAAACTCGTTGCCCTTTCCAGGGGCGAGGTGGACAGTGTGTTGTGGGTGGTTGAGGGGTTTGAGGACGGATCATTGTTTGCGACTTTTTCATGTAGCCTGGTTGTTTCAAAGTGCCATAAAAATACCTAAGTACAACCGTCTCTCTGTTTATGCATTAGTGTGTATAGAAGCTAAAACGTAAAATGGGGCCATAAGCGTAAAGTCCCAATCTGCTTATGGCGGTTGTCACCATACCCATTATTGTTGCTGTTGTTGTCTTTAATGGTTAAGAAATATTCACTACTTTAATATGTTTGAAAATGTTGCCACTACTTAGATGCTGTACGCATGGCATAAGTGTACAACATGTAAAATGCTACGTTCATTGCCTCGCTGTTATGGATTTTCAAAGGGGACCCAGTGCCGGCGGAAGCCTTGCTGTTAATGCTGTGACCTGAGGAGATTCGTTGCAAACTGGGCAGGAAAATGAGGTGCAATTGAGGGAGGCAGCTAAAAATGGACTGAGGGATGTTGTTCAAAGCTTGCTGAAAAGAGGAGTGCACGTCGACGCCCAAGATGAGGTACATATTGACTGTTGTACGTTCTTTCTGCAAGCACAGAGCATGGTTCCAGCACCGTTATGTCTACAGACCAGGTGGCGTTGCAATCATTGGACATGCATACACAACATGTTGTGGCTGAAGAAGATCCTACATTGGCTTTACCTGCCATCCTGGTTAGATTTCCCACCAACAATGCTTAGACTTATATGCCACATTGTAGGTGGGATCTCTGATATCGTGCAGATATCTGGTGAACATGCAGATCCTGCCAGCCCTTTTTTGTTCTATTCTACTCGCGGTTATGCAAATAATACTTCTATTATAATGGAAACTACAATATATGACAATTATCGCAGTCCAACCTTCGTGATGCATGAATTATATTTGAACTGCTTACTGCACAGTGGCGAGGCCGGTTCATTATCTGCAGTTACAATATCATGATATTGATATGTAAATGCCTTGCTGAGGCGTCTCAATAGGCAAGTGGGTATATCTAAATATATTACTAATGTACCTAGAATCGCATCCACGTATATGTAAACATTATTACCAATCGTTAAGCCTGCATTGCTCCTAGTCGAGAGGTTCCAGCCATGCAATAAGTACGTTCAGGCCTGGTTGTAATGAAGGGAGAATGCACAGCTGCACCCGGTGACAGCTTTTGTAATTGCAGAATATTAATACGCTTTGAGGCACACTAGCGACACAGACCTATGTGTTTGCTGCCGAATTGCGAACTTCTTGGGGCAGCCGTCGTTGCAAAGCAATGTGCAAGAGGACGTGTTATTGCGCCCATTGTTGAAATGAAGGTCTTCTTCGGTGCCCGCTCAAAGGGTTAGGGTTGAATATTGTGCCTTGGAAATTGAGAGCTAAGGGCTTTGGGACCCAATCTTTTTTTATTTCGCTTTTTTGGGTAGTTTTGAAGCCGCTCTTGTAACGAATTTTGCCTTTTAAGTAGACAATCAATTTGGGATGGAGGAAGTATTTATTTATTTATTTATTTATCTGTTCGTTGACTTGTTTAACTCGCAGAGGATCCCATTCTGCCATGTTCCCTATTGATTAATATTATGACAGAGATTGCGTATGAGTGAGAGTGCGTGTCCACATAGGTGCATGTTGTTCTCTCACTCAATGTGCATTAGAGCAAATTTGGTGCGAGTGGAATCCATCCGTGGGCATTGTAGCATGTTGTTTCTTGTTCTACTATGTAATCTGGAATCACGAAGGCCATTTTGCATATGTGCTGTGTGTATTTCAGAATGGCGCCACACCACTGTACTTTGCAGCACGATTTGGAGATGTTGAAGTTGCAGAAGTTCTGATCGATGCCAATGCAACGTTGGATTCGACGACAGTGGTGCGTTGGGACATGAATGAACAGGTTCTATGTCCAAGCTGTATGCAAGGTCAAAGTTTTAAATAAGCGCTTGCACAAAACGCTGTTAATGGAAGCGATGAGCGCAGGGCCACAAATCCCCTCCCGTTAATGTGTCGAGGAATCTTCCTATGATGTGCAGAACGGATGCAATTGAGTATTGTGCACTTTGTCAAATTTTCATTTGCTGCGAAGCTCGCATGCACAGGGGCCAGTGTTGATTGCCATGGAACGGCTAAACACAAGTGAATGTCTATGCAGAAGCACTCACATTTAGGCTCTTGTTTGGTCCAACTGTCAGAGCTGATCCACTATCATGTGTTCTATCACAGAGGGCTACTGATTTCCGAAGCAGCCACAAGAACTAGTTAATTGTACACCTTCCCTTTTTGCACCCACTAGTGTGTTGTGCATGAAGCGCATCATGTCTTGATTTGCAAAAACTGAATGCCAATAAAAGCAGAGAAATGGGCACGGGGCAATGGCACACGTCATCTTTGTTCAGGGTCCCATTCCCCCCATTGGCATCTCGATGAACACGCACACTCTGGTCAGCAATGTTAGGTCCTGATACATGTGGATACAGGGCGGCGCCACGCCTCTCTTCGTTGCAGCACAAAATGGCGAAGTCGAGGTGGTAAGATGTCTCCTACAGGGAGGCGCAACTGTGGACAGGCCAAACAAGGTGTGGAAACGGAGATGAATTCTGGAAGCTGCTGTAAATCGCCAGCCTTGTGCTTGAAACAGGAAATGCACATGACATCACGCACACAAAGTACTACTGAAAATCGTATTTCTTAATCCAGACGCTGAACCTTGTCCAACAGCTCTGTTTGTGTTCTGATTGAGCTCTGAAAGGGAAATCGGATAGACAGGTGCAGACAAACACCATTTTGAGTTGGTAGCGGGGTACCTTGCATTCTATTCTTGTCAAATGGAAGTCCGGTGTTGCACCACCCCCGGGCACCCAAGGGAATGGCACCACAGGGTGCACACCCAGGACCTGTGTGGCGGGCAAGAGAAACGAGGGCTAACTCAAAGGACCGAACTACACGCAGGTAATACGACTTTTAGGACATTCCCAGATTAATTAATTGTTCCATTATGTAGTAGGCCCGTTTAACACCAGTAAAAAGCCATGAATGTCACCCAATGACCCCGAGTCCAATAATCTGTAAGGCAAGTAAATTGTCTAAAACTCCAAATATTCTAATATGCCCTAATATCCCCACAAACCAAGAGAAAATACACCTAACCCACTCACGCCTAAAGATTCACGCTCCAACAATCTGTAGCGAATCTTTGAAATGCAGCATAATGTGCAATATCAACAATTCACAACATTCAATCTTCTTTCACAAGAAGAGCGTCATTTGAATGCACTTGTTGCTTTGATCGATTCCTTGAGCACTCATCATTTGATTGGTTGGTTGATCCGTTGGCTGAATGGCTGACTGATTGATTGATTGACCGATTGATTATTGATTGATGACGGACCATTGATTGATTGATTATTGATTAGTGATTGATTGATTGAAGGACTGAATGTCAGTGCATGCTGGAGTGCTTGGCTTGGGTGGAAGAGTTGTACACTCTAGGAACAGTTTCGCCTTTGGCAATTAGTGTGAAGCGATATGTACATGGCTTTGTACCTTAAGTTATGGCTGTGCATAACGCTGTTGGGAATTGGGAGACTCGGATGAACTGCACGCCCATGTTTCCACTTGCGTTGGAATTCCTGCATAAATATTTTTGCATATAGTTTGGTAATGTAAGTCAATTGTATGTTTATAAATGTGCGAAATGTCCCAAAATTATGCTGTACTGGACCGCAAGCCAGCAAGTCAACGGGATTATCATCTCTCACTTTGGTATTGCATGCTCAAAATATAACAGTTTTTGACAGCGCTTTGATATATTTGTACATGTTTAAAGGCCCAAATGTTGGCTTGATGTTGTGGGTGCGAATTCTGGAAATGTGTATTCTTAGATTGTTTCTTGGCAATGGCTGCGCTCATCTTCCCCAGTGATTTTGATATATATTCCTTTTGCTACTTTTTGCGTTATCCCATTTACCTATTTGTTATTTTGTCTGTTTACTTATTTGTATACTTGTTTATTTTATGTCGCCATTTCATAAATAGGTAACCCCACGATCAGTTCATAATTGGGATCTCCCCCACCCGCACTTACCACCTCCTTGTCCTATCTCCCCCAGTGGACACCCAAAGTTCAAATCGCCACCCCGGAGCAAGTTTTACTCAGATTGACATGAAATTTTGACCACATATTGTACATGCCGCGTAGTTGCTGTGGTGAAGGTTTTGCGTCCAGATTCGAAGCTTCCGCCCCGCAGTCATGCAGGAGGCATGGTGCCTCATTGTCATCCCTGGGCGCTGGGTGGGGACAAGCGTTGTTCACATAGGCGGCCCACGCAACCAATTGAAGACGGGGTGCACTTGTGGAGGGGGAGAGTGTGTGTCCGCATCTCACTTCCCACGTTTTTTGCTTTTGGTGTGGAAGCACACCATGGTGGTTGCCCTTGGCATCCCATCACGGCAATGCTGGCTCTCCCAACAAACTTGGCAGTCAAGGTCAGCGACTCGCTTTCCAGAAATCTAGGCCCTGTAGAGGACACAGATCTGTATACACTCCCAGAAGCTCTTCATGTGGGAAGTTCGGCAAGATTGTTGGGTTGTGACATGATCCCTGAAATGGAGATCTTCCACCAATATACTCGATTAACCCCAGACGAGATGGCTGAATGGGGCCAACGATCGTTCCCCCTCGTGGCTTCACAATAAGAGAACGCTATCTTGACCATTGTCAAGATCTCCTGAAAGGGAGTGAGGCGCCTTACGACAGAAAACCTGGGATGGCTGCTCATTGAAGGATCTGCACAAATTTTCCAGCATGGCATGTTCCACTCGATGAGCACACAAGGGATCGATTTTGCGTGGCGAGCAACTATCGGCATGGGCTTTCACGTCCCTTCCATGGCCAGAAAGAAGACCCCGTTGCAAAAACTTGTGCCGAATTCACCAACACAGCCCAAGCCTAAGCCGCTCTTCCTTCTGCGTCAATTGGCAAAACCATGCCGTGGGCACAGCCATGGACACCCAAGGGTATCCGGACTGGACGTGCAACCAGATGGTTATGAATTACCATGAGGCATATGCTGACTTCCCAAGTCAGCCATGGCCATTTGCTATGCCCGTTTTGAGTTCCAATGCTACAACAAGTTTGGTGGCCAGTGCATTTCCCATTTTACGTCTCATAACTACGTGCAAACTGCTGCTGGCAGATGGCACACGCTGCTAGAGCACCCTCAGGTTGGAGGTGCAGCTGTCCACGCGACCAAAAGCACCCGTGCATGGGTGTTGCATAGCTCACCTCTGTCCTCGTGCTGCGGCAGCCCGCAATAAGCAAGCGATATCTTGGAGAGCCGCTTGTACGGCGGCGCCATGGGTGTCCAACAATTGTTTATCTAATTGCGAAGTTAACGGAATTGCAAAAATGACTGCTTGCAGGATGGCGCCACTGCCCTATACATTGCAGCGCAGAATAAGCACGTCGAGGTGGTGGAGGCACTCATTGAAGCGAAGGCGGATGTCAACCATGCTTGCACCATGGAGGTGCGGCAGGAAGCGGCCTTGGACGCACAATGAGGCCACCACAAGGCGCCTTTCTCGCTTAAGAACAATAAAATATTTCTGAATTTGGACTGACAGATGCCTGGCGTCATTTTGTAGGATTCATCACGTCGTTTATGTTGATTGAATTATCTGTGTGTTCATGAGGTACACGTGAATAACAAATTTCCGTGCTAATTGAGTACGCATATTGAATGGTTTTGTGTTTACTGGTGGAAAGATTAGACGTTCAGATGAATGCATGTCTATCACTTTTTTTTGTGTTTGTCCACTTTCTCTGTGTAATTCGTTAAAATCAAATTGAATTTGGCGAATAACATAGAAATTCCAAGTAGTGAATAGAGCCTGTGGTTCAAATTAGCTAATCAGCGTCTAGCTCAAGAACCACCTGTAATAGCATACCTTAAACTTTTCATTATATTGGCCACATCCCAGCTTTTTTGACTGATGTTACAGTACTAACCACAATGTGCAAATTTCAAATTTCAGAACAGTAACCAATTGGAAAATTGGAATTAGTAAAAAACATGCACATTATAATAAAAATATTCACTAGCAACTGCGTTTGGTAGCTTTGCAAAGCCGGATTTTGTTTGCCGCCACATTCCCATTGCCTTTGCGCGCAAAGCAAGTGGCGTCTGAGGTGGGTCGAAACGCAACAATCCTCTTTTGCCCCTGACAGGTTCTAGTGTGATGTGAGCCACAGCATGTTGTTATTCCCCTTGGGAAATGCGCTGCAAACCAGGAAGTGCATATTTTCTATATTTGGATCAATCTCCCTTTGGGCTAGAGTAGAATACAAGACGCGCAATTGGTGGCTCATCGGTGCATTCATTTGCACCAAGATGCCTCCGAGTGAGTGTGTCCAATTGGACCAGTCCTCTTTAAGCAAATGTCAAACTGGCATTTGCAAATGCCGAATTTCAATATTACCTTAAACTGACGTTCGATACTTCTCGGACTCAGATGTTTATGGATAAACTGCCAAAATTGATGGTCAATAACAGGCTTGGTCTTTATGTTTGTGGCACCATTTTGCGATTACGTTTTAACGTGTAAAAATGTGCAAACGCAAAGGCTATATGTGTGTATTGTACGGCCCGTTGAGGCAACCAGGTTGCGTGAGGAAGTCCCAAACAATGATCAGCTCTCCGCCCCTCAAGCACCCGCAACAAAGCATCCACCTCGCCCTTGGCAACGGCGATGATGTCGTCTAGCGAAGATCGTTGTCTGCATATCCAGCGCGTCTCGCTGCCCGACACCAGACTTCCTGAGTCTGTGAGGACTGTCTTTAAGTACAAAGGGCCTCCATTCACGTAATTCATGCGCTTTAACGAGTGAAGGCGTCACTACCACTTTTACCTTTAAACACTCGTGAACGCGCTGTGTTCACGCTGTAAAGACCAAGCATGTCTAGTCAATACGTGGCGGCTCGCCGGTCGCAAAATGACGACTCCATATTGACGTGCTGGGCATCTGGAAAAAAGTGTAGACATTGATGCGCTGTGGCGGCTACATTGCCATTGCTGCAATGCGTAGCAACGCCTCAGCAATCCCTACATGTCAATATTGACAAGCGCTGAGATGTGTGGCAACGTAGTGTCAATGCTGATACATCAGCGTTGCTGACTGTTTCTCGGCACTGCATCAATGATATTGTACACACAAAATTGCATCAACGTGTGAAACATTGTTGTGAGATGTGCCTTGGAACTCTGCTCGAACATTTTCTTGCCAGCTTTTGTGCATTCGCTTTCTTTGTTGTTATTTGTACCTGCGTTGATCTTCTTTACGGAAACCAACGTACGTAGATTTTAACAGCACTAGCACTGGTAATGCTACTCGTGTTGCTGTCCATGGCATTTTTGTTCATGCCAATGTTACAAGATTCCCCAATGCTGCGTTCCTTGGATGTCCATGCGCAGCAGGGTGCCACACCGCTGATCGCCGCGGCGCAGAAAGGAGAATATTCTATTGCACGGGCACTGGTGCGGGCTGGCGCAGCTGTGGACAAACCCAGAAAGGCACGTCGGAATGCAGTCCTGTAGTTATTTTGTTGGTATTCTTGCATTTCATATTATGTTGAGATTTACACGTATGTAGCCATGAGAGCAGCATCTATAAATTGTGTATTGAACTGCGTTTACTTGTTTGTACTTAAGTAGCCGTTGTTGCAGTTGATGGAAGTTCGTGGTGCGTATGGCGCCGTTGGTGGAGCTTCAGAATTCCTTGTTGCCTTGGAAATAACCGGGGATGCGATGTCTCGAAATTCGCCGGTGAATTGACGCAAACATATGCCGCTGTGTCATGCCAGATGTGCATGCTTTCTTTCAGCGACGTATCCTCAACGGCCCATTCCATGCTTATCATCTCGGCGACAAAAGCGCGATCCACTTACCTGATTCCCTGTGCAGGAGAGGTTGCTAAATAGCCTCTGAAGTAGCTCACTTGAGTGTGTAAGTACATGTGGAAGAACACCAGGTCCAGTAGCACGTGATGTGTTCTGTTTCACTGTACTCCAGGCGCTGTGGCCTTTGTCTGTGCGTGAGTCCAATTGACTGATAGATCGATTCTTGATTGAATGATCGATTGATTCCCTTGCTGATTGAGTGGTTGATTGGTGGGTGTCAAATGACCGAAGCGTGTCTGGGACCTCAGGATGGCTCCACTGCCTTGATGGTCGCGGCTTTCACAGGAAGCAAGCAAATTGTAAAACTGCTCAAGGAAAAGGGCGCCAGCATCGACCATTCGAACAAGGTATCAAAAAAATCGCGCCAAGGAATGCCCCCATTTGGTTCCGCTCGGGACAGCTCACAACTCCAGTACGAAGCTTTTAGCGGTTCAGAGCGTTTTGCACACGGACTGAAATGGAGATAAACGGTCGATTTTTGCATCGCAAAGATATGTACAGGAAAACCAAACAACAAGGGCCCAAAATTAGAAACGTAGAAGGTTTTGTAAGGTGTGGGGGGCGACACGGCTCTTGGGAGCGACATCTAACACTTGTTTTCTGGAGCGTCTTGATGAACACTGTGCAAAATGGACTTGCGATGTGACTTAGATTACAAGGAAAGTGCTATGCTAGATTGTAACGTGGGTTTTCAGCGTGTGATGGGCTGCACATGCAAGGCTTCAGCAATGATGCTTTGCCTGCACATTGGCGAAGACTGTGAACAATTTGGTGGCGTAAACAATTTAGAGCCAGGCGCTGGGGCGTTGTGCCAGACGTTGCTTCTGACTTTGATCTCTGTACATTGCAGTCAGGAAACACTGCCTTGATGTGGGCGCAGCAGCAAAGGCACGACGAAGTTTCCACATATTTGCGTAGGCAGGGCGCTCGCAGCAGTTAGGGATTCTACCATGCGCCTAATGGGTGAGCCTGTTGCATTTTCTCCAGCCCTCGCCGCGTTCGCTTTCTGATGTGGCGCCGGCAGGGCGTAGTGGCGGTGCCTCGAGATTGCTGTGCTCTACAGCACTTCGTTGTGCCCGTTCAAGTCACGATTTTTTTTCCTGGGGTTCGCTGAAGAAGGCAGATTTTCCCAGAGGGTGCCTTCATGACGGGGCAACGCAAATCATGGTTTGTCAGCTCACGGGGCCACTCTCAAGGGGGCTCGCGGAGGGGGGTGGTGGGGTGTGGGGGGGTTGGCGTTGGGCCGACGCCGTTGGCCAATTGTTGATCACATTTTCTCATCAGTGTAATGTTGCCATGTTGGTCACCTTGTTTTCAGAACATAGTGTTCCCCATGCACCGCAACATTCTGTTTGAAACGGTCAAATGACAGCGACTCGTGAAAGACGCTCAGAATGACCCGTGTTCATGTGTCTTATGGATCGTTGATATCCACACACACGCCTGTGATCAGCAGCCGGCAGCTGACGATTTGCTCCCAAACCCCGCTCGAGGTTTCAATCTTTGAGGAACCCCTTAAAATAGACCAGTTTATAGTCTCTGTGGCTGCTCCCATCGCCTACCATGACTTTCAGCATCTCACTTCTCGATCCAGTACAATCACTAGAAATTGGATCATTTTCCTTTTAAAACATCTTGAAGTTCATTTCATCTGTGCGTAATATTACTGAATCATCCTGGCATCGCAACAAGGACTGATGCTATGTTGCTTGGGCGGTGGGGTTATAAGTTTATAGTCCATTGAACAAATTCAAAACACTGTCTTCCCTCTACTGATTCTTCCCAAAGCAATGATGTTGCCTTCTTTTGCTCATTCCGGCTGAATACAATTCAGGGCAAGGTGGTGATCGGCCTCCATTTACTGCATGATATCCTTAACCATTACGCAACAACCGCTCAAAGTCACGCCTTAGAGTGTATTAAATAATGTTCACGAAGCCCTTACTCCAACGGTGACACCAGGAGGTTTGCCGCAAGGAGCAAAGCACATGTAGACGGCCTTAGACACTGCCAAAGCCACCGCCTAAAGTGAACCACAGCATAGCACGGAAAACACGGCCCACGGATTCGCCGTATGCTGTTGTCCGAACAACAAGCACACAAAGCACTCCCGGCACAACGAACGAGACGCCTAGCGATTGAAACCTCCAGCTCTCGCCTCCATCACGACTGCGAGACTCATCAATGCAAATATCCGTGGTAGTCCTGCCAATGTAGCACAATCAAGATGCTGGCAGTGACACACGCACGATGGTCCCAGCTAACGTCCAGCATCGCGATTTGCTAAGCATCCATGCCAGCATCACTTTGCATGATCAATCACAGCCTCACGTGTCCCCACGCTCGGCGAATGCATATTTCGTAATGAACGAGAGGGCCCACACACATACAGGGACGTCTGCTTGGAGCCTCGAAGTTCGAGGGCACGATCCAGCGTCCTGTGGCGGGTGCTCCTCTGTCCGGCCGCAAGCCATCTCTGCCGATTCGCGGGCCGCATCATGAAATGGTGCACAGTACCAGCACTGCCTTCGAGAAACACACAAACGCGGACGTTGCAGCGTTTCTTTGGACTTCTCAGAGCTTCTGAGTCAGAAGCTTAAGGAGCAAATACTTTGACAGTATTGTCAAATGTTGCCATAATTAAGTATACCAAATGAAGTATCACATACCAACACGCTGGACACTCGACCCACAGGATCACAGGGCACTAGCATCAGCAACACCACCACAGCAAAGCTACGCCACAACATATTTTAGAAATACGGCAGGCATGTTCTCGATTTCGCGCCTCCACATTCAATGCGCAGCCTACGAAATGCAGGTTCATAACTGCAAACTACTTTGGACCAAGCCGCCAATGGCAATCTTGGAGACACAGCTCAAGTCAAGGCCCAAACCAAGCTGAGAGAAGGACCAAAACCCTCCCAATCGCCAACAGTTTTGGACGCCACTAGCATCGGGGTAGAAGCTTCGCTGTACTTGTACAACTTCTGCGAAACTGCGAGGCTCATCGCCACTTTCCCAAAACGTATGGTACCCTTGTTTGCCGAGCACGAAAGCCATTTTCGGGTTTAGTTTCACAGACTTTTTAGGTCTTGAGTTTTTAGGGCCCTTGCATCCTTCATGGACTTGGGGACCCCGTCATTGCCTTCGGACAAACCTCCACGTGCCGCGCTCTCGCCACCTTCTGCCCCTCGCCCTAGGAAAGGGCAACGACGTTGTCGAGCAACACGCCATCTTCTGCTCACTCCAACGCATCTGGATGCCGCATCCCGGACTCCCTGAGTCTGTGTGTACACGAGCCTGTACTTAAGCAGTTTTACGCATTTTTAAGCGCAAAAAGCCTGGCGACGAGTTTCCAAAAACAGGCGTCGTCGCAAACTCTGACAAGCATAGGAGGAGGCGAACGCGTTCTGGACAACGCGCTCAACAATTTCGCCGTGACGAAGACGACCGTGAGCAGATCTATCCAAGTGTGGGGTTGATCACTCAACGCCGATAACCTCGACGCAGGGCAAGGTAGAGTGGGCTGCGGCAGCAAAAACTGCGCGGTGCCCAAAAAATAGCTGTTGCTCATGGGATGGCGGCAGGAACGAGCGGCGATTCTCTTTCGCGGCAGAATAACGATGCCCAAATGTTCGTGGGCCCGTAAATTTCTAAATATTGAGAATGTGTATCGATGCAGGCGATGCTGTGCAGAAGATCCGTGGATGCCTGAGGGACACGCTGCAGTTGTGGGGGTTGCAGACATGGCGGGCTTGGAAGATAGGATACCAATGGTGGATGTGAAAGAGGACCAGGAGCTCCTGCACAAGCTCCTCAACTTCGTGCTAAAAGACGTGCCATGCAGCATTGAGCACAATTTGATGAAGCCCTGGGAGGAAATCAAGGGTCACCATGCAGAGAGCATGAAGTGTGCTAAGGTGTGAAGCTCGTTTGATTTTCATTTTGCTGAACTGTCACACAGTAATTTACCATGTGTCTCTGACTGAAGTGTTGAACCACAGTTGAAGTTACCATGCAGTACTGGCAGGTGAAACACTGAAGTGCTGGAGCACAAAAGATAACTGACAAGGCAATGAAGTAGCACTCTGAAGCAATTGAAGTAGCAACTACAGGTACTGCCTTTGCACTGTCAACACGATGATGGTGGTACTGGTGAAGTTTCATTGGTTGCATGTCAGCCACAGAATGCTATGTCACCTTCCAAACACATGAGAACATCGTGTCCAGTGTTTGTATCCGCAATTGCCATCACTCACATGTGCACCTGTCCGCCCCCAGTTGAGGCCTACAATTTATCCAAGTCTCCCAGCTGATCGCCCTGGTTCCATCCATATTTTTTCTCCAGAATTCTCTCTCAGCCTCACCTTGCCTTTTGCAGGTCATCGAAGAACGCGAGCTTCAAATGGGATAGCAGCTAGGTGAAGGTGGCCAGGGCGCAGTATATGCAGCAGTATGGGAGTCGAAAAAGGTGGCCGTGAAGAAGCCAGTCTGGAGGGGCCCATTGGCAGGCCAGGGCGACCTGCCCATCGAGGACTTTGCAGAGTTTTCCAAGGAGATCGTCTTTCATGCCGGCATCAACGACCATCCACAATTGTCAAGCTCCTGGCTGGCACCTCCTCAGGGGGGATGGTGCTGGAAAAGGCAGCCTCAAGATCAGCGATTTCGGACTTGCAGTCATGGAGACAGCGTCCAGGAGCAAGACGGTGAGGATCGGCGATGGCACGCTGCAGTACACGGTCCCTGAATTCTACCACGGGAAGCCAACCAGCTCCAAGTCAGACGTGTGCAGCTTCGGGGTGCTGTGCTACGAGGTCATCAGCGGGCAGAAGTCGTATGGTAGGGAGGGAGCCACCCAGTATGTGATCATGAAGAAGAAGCTGGATGGGGAGGCACCGTGCCCACTGCGGGATAGCGACTGTCCCCCGGAAGCACTGGAGCTCATCAGGTGGTGCTGCGTTGCTGACCCAGAGGCCAGGCTAACAATGGAGCAGGTCAAGAACAGCCTGCTGCAGCTGCCTGACGATTGGGTGTTTAAGGAGCCCAGTGCTGGCAAGGTGAGAGATGTTTATTGCGTTGTCTTGTGCACTGACAAAATGGGCACTATATTGTTTTGTGCCTGACTTGCGTCAACTGCCAATGCAGCAGCAGTGCAAATTCTGTTCAATATTGACAAAGCTACTTGAACAATAAATGAAACATCAAACTCCTAACATGTATTAGGAAAAATATATACTACTATGGTGTTGTATACTATAGTGCAGTATATTATAAGGATGTGATATGAGTTTGAAAATTTTGAGTGTTGATAGTATAATTCATCTTACCCACATTCTGTTGCCATTGTCCATTATCTGCATTTCAATGGCTTATAACAATGTCAGCTCAGCCAAAATGCCTATTTCTTCCATCCATTTCATCTACTGCTATATAATGGCACCTAACCCCAGGGTTGCTGTTGCCAGAGGCAGTTAAGTGCACTGCATTGTGATCGCAATTGTTGACACACAAAACAAACATGATTGAATTGCGGTCTGTTCTACAAACAGTGCCTGATAATTGTGCCAATTGCAAGTCAGCATTGTCACCTGTTGTGTGTGCCCCTTGCAATCATGGTATTGTTTGCTGCCATTGTGTATGAACTGCCTGCAGCTGATATCTGACCATAACAAAAGATGCCAGAATGCATTGTGGACTTAGCTGAAAAGCTGACACCAATTCTGTCTGATGTGTTTTGCCAAGTGGCCAGTTGTGTGTCAGTGTGAGACACACATGCCACTTCCACTGAAACGATGACAGGCATGGGTGTGCAGATATGCATGCACATCCACCTGCATGCAGATAATTTTGGGACACCAATTATTTGTTGTTCAGTTGTGGAATATCTCTTGATGGTGGTATTATGGATTGAATCATTGTATGGCTGTTGGGGCTGAA